AAAACAAATTATTCACAGGTAACTTTAAATCGGTTTGAAGCCAAAGATATGAATAAAGTTCTGGAACCATCAATTTACGAATATGTCCTATTTACGTCAAGTCTGAAAATACACGGTATTTATTCAAAACAAAATTAGTAGAGATGCGCGAACTATGAAAAAACATAAACTAAAGATAGTTTAGTGGAACAAGTTGACTACTCAAGTCTCTAGAACGGGTGTTCAGAAAAATGTTATCATTATCAAAGAAATTGTCTGTTATTTGTTTATCCAAGCAAAATATGAAACTTTCGCTAATATCTATCTATAGCGGAATGTTTTCTCTTTATTTAAACATATTAAATATTTTTTTCTGAAAACCTGTTAAAAAGATATAACCCATTTTATGCGTTCCGATTTTGAGTGAACAATGCTTTATTTGCGTATGTAAAATTCATGAAAACATGAAACAAAATTTTTTTGGATTTGAACTGGAATAAACACGAAAAAATTCAAACTTCAAAAAAAGTTGTCGAGAATATATAACCGAGATCGTTTGCCAAAATGCTACTGCTAATTGCCTTCTTGGGGATTGTAAAAAATGCCCTGGCACAAAATCTAGCTCAAGAATTGACATCTATTTTGAAAGATTTAAACATCAAAGGCATTGAATTTTCTCAATGGCTCACTACGGATCGGTATATATACAATTTTTGATCCTTTTTTTCCAAAGATATATAAGTAAGAGATATAAGTATTTATTTTGCAGATGCCAGATTGTAACTGTTTCCGAAAAAACTGCTGTTTTTTGCGTAATCTTTTTAAGGATCTTGTTGTGGTCGCAAAACATTATTTCCTGGCAAAATCTCAGGCTTGATACCTCGAGGAACTCAAAAAATCAATTGCAGTTGGGGAATTCATCGTTACACTTGATTTCTCGGAGAATTACTCATTCCAGGTCCAAAATGCTATACGGTCACAATATTGGTCCAAAGATCAAGCAACTCTCCATGTTTACGTTGTGTACTTCAAAGAAAATGGTGATTTGCAACATGCTAATTTTATCGTCTTTTCCGAAAAATCAAATCACGACGCTACTGCAGTTCATTTATATAACACTAAGTTCATCGCATTTTTGAAAGAAAAATTCGGCCGACTTGATGTTAAGAAAATTTATAATTTTTCCGATGGCGCCGGGTCCCAGTATAAAAAGAAATACAATTTTATCAATTTGTGTTATCATCAAAGCGATTTTGGTATGCCGGCAGAGTGGCACTTTTTCGCAAAGGGGCGTGCGATGGTGTAGGCGGGACCGTGAGAAGGTGCGCATATCGTGCTAGTTTACAGAAAAAAAAAAACACTGAAAGAATTACAACGACTAGAGAACTCTTTGATTGGGCACGAGAATATTTTAAGAAAATCAACTTCGATTTTTGCATGGAAGCCGAGTATGAGACACACTAAAAGAAATTGGAACCACGTTTTGCTGAAACAAAAACGATAAAGCAAACACGGCAGCATCATTGCTATCAGCCTGTAAATAAAAATATTGAGTGTAAATTTTCTCACGTTGCACAAAAAGTGATATTCAGCAAATCAAAGTGTAAAACTGTTTTCAAATATCCAGATTTTGAGAAGAGTCTCGAAATTAAGCCGACTCGCTGAGCGGCACCCCCACGAATACGAGCGCTCGAATGTCAACAAACAAACGCTCGGCGTATTTTCGCATTTATACTTAGCAAAAATTTTCTTTCGTTAAAATGTTTATAATGAATATCTGAACAATGCTCTTTTTTAATTTTTTTCGTAAACATATGAGAACATGTAAAAATTTGGTTTTTTGTAAATTTTTTATTTTTTTTTGATAAATAAACATTTGAATTCATAAAGTCTATGATGCACTTGATGCGCTAAACTTTCACGAACGTGTAGAATGTAAGATTACTTATTTCCGTCAAGTATTAACAAAGATATTGTCAAAATAAAAAACAATGCTCGAAAATTTCAATTGCTTATAACTAATAATAAAATTTATATTACGCAAAACTACTTTGATACATTCATTTTCATCACATAAACTATCATTAACAATCGAAAGGTACATGGAATTCCAAAGCTCACTTTGGAGGGGCCCACTTGGGAAAATTTGACTCAGTAGCGTTGAATGGCTGACAATGTCGAACCCCTTAGACAGGTCCAGCGCTACTAGAATGGTTCTCTCACAGGGGCGCTTTCGGTTTAGGCCACGAGTTATCTGGGTATTTATGGCGTTAAGTGCTGTTGTTGTACTGTGCAGTTTACCGAAGCCATGCTGATGCTTCGCTGGGGTCAGGTGGTTTGTAAAATACGGAAGTAGCAAGGTCTCTAGTGTCTTCGCTACCGGGGAAAGGAGGGTTATCGGACGATAAGACTCTCCTTTGTTGGCTGGTTTCCCCGGTTTGAGCAGTGGGACCACTCTCCCCATCTTCCAGATGTCTGGGATCATGAGAGTGGCCATTGACAAGTTGAGGACCTCCGTTAGGTACGCTACTCCCGTAGGGGCCAAATTTTTCAGCGTCAGCATGCATTTCCGTCTGGTCCAATGGCTTTGGAGGCTTTCGCCTTCCCGATGGCTACCCTTACCTCACCGCTGGTGAAAACAAGAGGCGCACTTGGTTTTGGCAGTTTGTGCAGCCTTCTGGTCACTTGACGTTTGGCTTTATTCACCGGAGGATGCAGGATGAACTTCCGGGTAAAATAGCTCGGGCATCGCTCTGGGTCCGATGAAGCGTGTTCACCAAAGTCTATTTCAACTCTGTCGTCACGCTTCGTCGGGTTGGACAATGTCCTCACGGTTGACCAAAGCTTAATCACACCAGAGGCGAAGTTGCAGGTCTTTAGATGCTCTTCCCATTTCTTCCGCTTATGTACGCTTACAAGTTGCCGAATCGCCGAGTTGAGATCCCTAATGCGGAGATTTCCGGTATCGGCCTGACGAAGGTTGTCGCGCTCATCGCCTAGGACAGCCGCTTCTGCAGGAAAATACGGACGAGGGTCCGATATGCATCCCGCTGGGATGGAGCGGGCTGCAGCAGCAGTGACAACCCTGCGGAACTTACGTTCACTTACGTGAACGTCCGTTGGTATGGGTAGCGCAGTGAAGGCCCTTTCAGTAACATCCGCGAAGCCTTTCCAATCAGCTTTAGAAAAGTTGACATAGGTCCGGTGATCCGCGGAAGCAAAGTCGGCTGGTTTATCAGTCGAGATGATTATGGGCAGATGGTCTGATGCTAAAGTCAGCATAGGTCGCCATGATACGCTGTTTATCAGACCAGCGCTGACTATTGTTAGGTCTGGTGAGCTGCAGCAGCTGCCCATAATCCTGGTGGGTGCGTCGTCGTTCATTGTGCAGAATGTCGCATCGTCTATCTGCTGAGCCAATTGTGTTCCCCTACGATCGTTTGACAGGCTTGAATGGAGAAGATCGTGGTGCGCATCGAAGTCACCAACTACCTTACGGTTTTCACCTCTGAAGAGCGCACCTATTTCAGGGCGATATCCTGCCGGGTAGCTGGTGGCAGGGGGTATGTATATATTAAATATTTCGAGCTCGACATCGCCTGTCCGGATAGCAATTCCCTGAAATTCAAGGATGGTATCACTGCGGTCGATGTCTGCTTCGATAAGACGATACTGCACGGTGTGGTGCGTGATGAACGCTAGGCCTGCACCATTATCTCGCTCGCGATCTCGATGGTGCATGTTGTATCCGGCGCAAGTCAACAGTGTTGAATTGCCGTGCAGCTTCGTCTCTTGGACCGCAGCTATTAATATTCCGTGCCGACCCATGAAGACCGTTATCTCCTCGATCTTGTTCTGAAGTCTGTTACAGTTGAATTGTAAAATCTTCGTGTACCTAGGGAGACTTATTGGAATGTGGGGTTTTAGTGATGTGTGTCGCCGTACCGCCACATGCTGTGCTTGCAGCCGCTGTTGTGGGGTTAGTGGTCGGCGTCGCAGCTGGGGGTTGCGACCGAGCAGCACAGCATGGGCCCTCATAGTCCCTCGGCCAATCTCGCGTGGTGCGCAGTCTTGAGCATGCCCTAAAGTTACACCAGCCAAGGCAGGTGTTGCACTTGACTGCTGTCACATTACGGAATATCCTGGACTGGCAAACCGTGCAGATTGTCGGAGGAACTAGGAGTTGTTGGCGGTGGCGTGTAGGTGGTGGTGCAGTGGCATCTGTGGTGTGGTCTGTTGTGTCTGTGGTATTGTCTACTGTATTGTGTTGTGGTGCGGTTGTGTTTGTGTTGCGTTGCTCAGGCGGACTCTGTTGTGCCGTGGCCACGATTGGTGCAGCAAGGGCCACGTACGCAGTGGTCCATTGCCTGTGAGACGTGAGGCCTGAACAAACTCGGAGGTGGCTCCTCCCATTGAATGTATTGCATCTGACGGAGGTGGAGTTGTGGTGTAATCGTATCTGGCACACGCAGAAAGTATATGTTTCTGGCCCAGGGTTTGACTCAGTGCCAGCCCTGAGCAGAAGTACGCGAAGAAGAAGTAGCCCTATGGACGTACAACTTTTGAGGGATTTCGTCGACCTAAGCGGGGTTAGATCGCCGAAACAACAGCTCTTGGTCGGGTAAAACCCGAGTCATTCCGGTACGTAGAACCGGCAGTCGTGCCGCCTAAATATCATAAGGAAATTCAAATAATAAATAGTTATTAGAATTTTTGTGAAGACTCTGGTGAGGGTAGCAATGGGAGGCAGAACGCCATTAACTTGTAAAAATCACCGACCAAAAGTATGATAACAGCCTAAATCATATTTTTGGTCGGTGATTTTTACAAGTTAATGGCGTTCTGCCTCCCATTGCTATCCTCACCAGAGTCTAAATTCACAAAAATTCTAATAACTATTTATTTTTTGAATTTCCTTATTTTTAGCTCTTGTGGAGATCTTACGCCAACAAACCCAAATGTATTCATAGAACAAAAGTTACATAATAATTTTATACAATCGACCTTTTTTTTATTTTTAGAGCTCTGCTGATTCTAACTATTCGCAACCCTCATCCGATCTGTCGCTTGACGATGAAAAGGAAACGCTTCGGCGAGAAAAGGAGCGGCACGCTTTAAATCAGTTGGAAAAAGCGAGGGTTCGTTGTGCTTAGAGTACTTTTACTTTTATTACATGTTTGAAAAATGCAGGGAAAACCCGTAGCTTTTGCAGTCCGGACAAATGTTGCTTATGATGCTACTCTTGATGATGATTCACCTGTCCAGGGTAGCGCAGTGTCTTTTGATATAAGAGAGTATCTTCATATCAAAGAAAAATACGACAATAATTGGTGGATTGGTAGACTGGTTAAAGAAGGTTGCGATGTTGGGTTCATACCGAGTCCAGTTAAGTTAGAACACATTCGCTTACAGGTAAGTTAGTATATCTCAAATAGATCGGGAACTAAGAACTTTATTTAAAAACAAGAATCAGACGAGACCGTCCAGACTATACGGTACTAAGGGTTCCTCTACAAGCAACTTAGGCTCAAACCAGGCGGAACCAACACGTGGTAGTACTCCACCTACACCTGGTAAGTGGAACTTGTGTGAAGACCTCAAATCATAGGCTTTTAAGGCCTCCATAAATTATAGAATTTTTAAATTATTATTTACATACATAAGTATACGAATTTGAATTGTAGTAAATTTGTATAATATTACATGCATACATACATACATATATGAATTTTGATTTGACGAAAAAAGAAATGTGAAGACCCCAAATAATAGGGATCTCCACAAATTATGGAATATTGTAATTATTATTTACATACCTACATACGTATATGAATTTTAATTGCAGTCAATTTTTATCAAATAAAATACCTCTTTGAGGCAAAATTTTCGAGTGATGAAAGCTGAACTAGAAACACAAAATTTATGATATCAATTTCGTGACGAAAATTATACGCATTTTTTTAACTGCCCTGGAAATTTTACCTCAAAGAGATATTTTATTTGATATCAATTATTTTGGGATACCGAATTTAAAATCAACGAAAATCCAAACAAAAATCTAATTTCTTTTCTCAAAGAAATTGCTAAAAACGCTATCTAAATCTAATTGATTTATTCAAATATTTAACATTGCATTCAATTCCATTGAAACATACTATAATTTTTCGAATACGGAATAAAGCGACGAAGAATGATCATATACTTCGTATCAAAAAAAAATATTAAAAATTAAAGAAAAAAGATCAATTGTGAAAATTAATAAAGACGTAGCAACTTGGTACCAACATCAGATACAATAAGCAACTGTATTCGTCTCATTCTCTGCGTTGCACACATGTGTTCTTCTAAGAAGTTTCACTTCTATCACGACTACGGTGCTTCACTCGCCTTTTTTACTCATGTGTTTTTGCTCAGCGGCAATTCTATCTATCTATATACTTATTTCTAAAAGGTATTTTTCTGTTACCAAATGACATCTCCTTTAATATTTTATCAAATTTTATGAATGGTATCTCATTTTGAAGGAGAGAAACTCACGTACATGCGAAATATAGTCACGTTGTTCAAATTTAATTATTTATTTAAAAAATGGGGTTTCAAAAAGCTGAAAGCACTGTATCCGGTCAATAAAGCGCCATATCTTCCATAATACTTCATCAAAAACACCATTTTGAAGGAAAGCTGCACTGCTTGAGGTAAAAATAAAAACTGTTTGATAGGGTTGCCACCCGCTAAAATTTTTGGGATTTAATATATACTGACTAAAATATTACAACGGATTAAGGGAATGAAAGTTAAATACCTAAACTAATTAAATTAAATGTACTCTTAACCAGAAGTAATAATTTTGAAGAGGGTTGCCAACTATTTAAAAATTGATATCTATATATATAAAACTAAACGTATGACCCCATGACTCGAGAACGGATTGTCCGATTTAAGTCGACTTTTTTTAGTTGTGTGTGACTTTGCCCAAGGAAGGAGATATATGAAAGCAATATCAAACTCATGGAGAGAAGTGGGGCTATTTGAAAATGAGGCATTGTGTGTGTTTGAGGGGGTCTCTGGATAGTTTCAGTTCACAATTTGACACTCCAGGTGGAGCTGGAATCGAGTTATTACTAAAAATGGTATGCATCATCCTATTCGGCTTATATTCGAAACATGTCGCACGTTTAATAATATAGAGATGTAGCTCAAAATTAAGTTTTTCGCGATTTCATCATACAATTAATAAGCTTGATAAGTAGAACATGTTCAGCCCAACAGATATCTAAACTTCCCAAACATCGAAAAGATATGGGTATTTTCAACTGTCTTTTTGTATACCAACTGTATGAATTGATCAAACTTTGATTGCATTTACCCACAAAATTGAAATTTTGAGATACTTCTGGTATCGTAAATATTGTCGTGAAAAAATATACCCGCCAAGTGACTAATGAGTCGAGTTATTACTAAAAACTCGTATTTATGATGCGATTTTCTCATGTTCGGGATAATGGTAAGGACAATACATTTACAAAAAGGAGCCACCAGGTGGGGCTGGAGTCGAGTTATTACCAGGGCTGCAAACTACTCCTAAAACGGGGCGGTTCGGTTCAGTGGTTTGAACAACTTCGAAAAAGCTTATACCGGTTCAAGAACCGCTTCGTGAGTATTCCTGAACCGCGGTTTCAGTTCGGTTCAAATTGTTAAATTGTTTTAATGCCAAAGGATACAAATATTACAAAAATATGATAAATCTCCATATAAAAAATAAAATGCCTTTTTGTTGAGATCAAATTCAAATATACACATGTATAACGATGTATAAAATAGGGACGCGACGTTTTTAAAATTACTGCATTTTTCTTATTTAATGGTTATTGTTTTAAGTATAGTTCATCTTCTAATCTCTGGCCTAGTTGGCATTTTTCTTCGTTGATAACTAAATCTCTCTCACGATAACGTCTAAAGAGTTGTTCCAGGTGCTCGACCTGCTCTGCCTCTGACGCGGATGCTATGAGTACGTCGTCAAGATATGGGAAAACAGACGGTAGTCCCTTGACGGATTCGTCGATAAATCGTTAAAACGTTTGAGCGGCGTTCCTTAGGCCAAACGTCATATACTTAAACTCAAAAAGCCCGACAGGTGTTAGTATATCAGTCTTTGGGACATCAGTTGCATACACCGGAATCTGATGGTACGCTTTCCTATAATTGACTACATAAAAAATTGTTTTACCATATAGGTCGATTCAAAAGTCCTGAATGTGACGCACGGGATAACGGTCTGGAATTGTCTTTGCATTTAATCGTCGGTAATCGCCGCATGTGCGCCAGGAGCCGTTAGATTTCTGCACCATGTGCAACGGACTACACCATTGGCTCTTCGAGTGCTGACAAATTTCGCGCTTCAACAAATACTCGAACTCTTTCTTAGCGATTTTCATCTTTTCAGGGGAAAGACGACGTACATTCTGAACTACAGGCAGAAACTTATTAACATGTCGTCAGTATTTTCCCATTCTTAGCGACGGATTTGGGAAACAGGGGTCCGTAGTTATAGTCAAAATAAAGACTACTCTAAAGTTAGTTGCAGCTTTTTGACATAATTTTCGGTGGGATGGCTTCAAATGCATTATCAGTTATTGTCTAACTTCGTTAGTATTGCTACCTATTGTCGGCATTTCGATTATGTTGCCGGCTTTCATCGCCAAGTCCTTTTTGTCGGGGTGGGGGTCGCTAAAATTTTTTTGTGCATGGATTGGTAAACGTCACAGCCATAAAGATTTTAAAATTTCTTTGTCCAAGCGATGGTTGGCAAGATCCCTCATTTCTTTGAATAAGGTTGTCGGTTTTTTGTCGCCCAACTCTCAACCTCCGAACAAACTTTTCAGTCGCTTTTCGTTTGACTCACCAAATTCGCTACTCAGCCTCTACTCCAAGGCTTCTTATTTGCATGTAGCAGGTGGCGAAGAAATTATGTCACTGGCGTTTGCCAGTACTGCCGAGTCTATTTCGACCACAACCGTATAAAATTTAGTCTCATCTGTGGAGATTCCCACGCCAAAACGGTCGTGCCTTCACGGTGAGCAGTGCCACTCGAAAAGGGGTAACTGCGTCCTCAAATCGGTTTTCCGTTTATTTAATAAAAGTATAATCAAAGTATTACATTTCAAGAATTCAATCGATCGCGTCGGTATTTTGTATCTATATCGATATGAAGTTGGTTTCGGTTCGAGGCTAAAAAGTATTAATGTTGCCACCTATAATATATTCGTCCATCAGTGTTAGGTCAGATCTCTACATATGTAACTTTAACGAAATTGAGAACTGAGAATAGTAAAAAAAAAACAACAAAATCAAACGAGAACTAAGTTGAATTCCAATTATATCCAACTGCCAAGGGATCAGTTTTTTTGTTACTGGTGTACTCGCACATAAATAAAGGTACATATATATATATTATATATTATATATTATATATTATATATTATATATTATATATTATATATTATATATTATATTTTATATATTATATATTATATATTATATATTTATGTACCTTTATTTATGTGCGAGTACACCAGTAACAAAAAAACTGATCCCTTGGCAGTTGGATATAATTACATATGTGCGTAGGTATGTACACATGTATGTATATACAACTAAATCTATTAGGTAAATATGAGGTCAATACAGTTCCAAGATGAGCTCAGTTGCATAAATTTGTACATATGTAGAAATATATATATTAGGCTGGGTCGATTTTGTATGGGGGAAAATAAAATGCATTTGACCGTATTGTAATAGTAATTATATGATGTCTTATATCTAAGCCAATTGTTATTGGTCACGAAAGATTAATTTAAAACTTATCTTTCGCCCGCGCAATTCAATCAAAGTGTATGAATTTTGAAAAGGAAACTTTGGCTTGTAATATCTATGGAATGCGTCAATTGTTATAAACAGGACGATATATCAAATTAAGGGTTATTAAATTTAGTACCTCACGTTCATTTATCATTTTTCAATATCTCTACAAGTTTTTAAGATATTAAGATGAAACTTACAAAAACTATAATTTTCCCTTATGAATTTTCAATTCTTCATTACTTCAGCCACCAAGTGAAAAATGCAAAAAAGAGAGACGCGATTTATTTCAAACGTTTTAATGTCTTCGGATGTTTATTTAATATTAAGAGGGCCATGAGTGTGGTCACGCCGATTCGGTCAGTTTTCAAGATCGTGGTGAATGAAGTCAGACATGTATTGTCAAAGATTAGGAATCGTGTGATAAGTTAATAGTAGTCTCAAGCATATAAGTATTTACAAACATTAACATAATACAATTAGGGTGAGAAACGCTCATTTTAAGTCTATTTATACTGTCTTGAAAATTGGTGTGGAATGGTTTCATTAGTCACCGAAGAAGCACATTTTTCGCGGTTTCTAAATTTGCCGTTATATGAAAGTAGGCGACCAGCAATAAGTGTTTAGATATCCATAAATATTTAAGGTAATTCTATTATGTGAAAAAGTTACTGTAGGTAAATGCAATAGTCTTTAACATATCTTGGGAAATCCT